GCTTGTATATCCAGTCACTGTACTTAAGCTTAGATACCCATGGAGTCAGCAGAAACCAGCAGATAAACATAGAAAATCCTCCTGGAACATCTTTTAGGAGAAGTTTGGGAGAAAAATCACATTTTATAGCCATATAAATATGAACTGACTACAGAGTAGAAAACACATATGAATTTTTAGATAAGAACTGGAGACTTGAAATAAGATTACTCTTAAAAAATAAGATTATTCTTGGCTGGGGGTGGGTGAGTATATCATTGTTGGAGATATTTTGATAGAAAAGTCTGAGAAGCTCAGTATTATGCTAAATAAATCTACCTTATAAATATGGATTAGCATTTTTGTGTGTGAATAATGAAGCAGAAGTGAAAGGAGGCTTAATAACAGGGATGGCCACAGACACAATACGGAGTGGGTCAAGTTTATCCTCCACTGTCACTACCATGACCAATATCACCTCTCAGATCCTGTCCCAAGCTCTTGAAGAATCTGACTTCTTTTCTTAACCTCAGCCTCACTGCTAAGCATATTTTGTCTTTTCTTCATCAATATGTGCTCTTCTGCATTCCATTTCCTTAAGAAATCACTATGAGTGTAAAGAGATAATCATTTGGGGTGCCTGGGTGGCTCAGTGGGTTACAGCCTCTGCCTTCAGCTCAGGTCATGATCTCAGGGACCTAGGATTGAGCCCCGCTTCGGGCTCCCTGCTCAGAGGGGAGCCTGCTTCTTTCTCTCTCTCTGCCTGCCTCTCTGCCTACTTGTGATCTCTGTCAAATAAATAAATAAAATCTTAAAAAAAAAAAAAAGATAATCGTTTAGTACTAAAGATAACAATTCATAATAAGGTGGTAGTCATACAATGAAATTCTATACACACACTTTGGACATATCTGTCATTAGGCAGAATTCTGCTGAGCATTTACAGAGTGCCAGAGAATGTGAAAAGTGGTAAGAATGCTTTGCTTCCTTCAGTTTTTAGGATTCCTAAACTATTTTTTTTAGTAGCATGCAAAATCTAGTGCCATATTCTGCACAGAGTGCTCATCAATGAAATAATTCTTTCTTGACACAGGCATCAAATCCAGAAAGGGTAAAGGAGACAAGAAGAAATGAAGCAAATGGGAAGGATACCAGAATAGAAAGTAATCAAATTAGTCTGAATCTAGCATTTTAAAATTATTGTAATTTCAGTCATATTTTTCACAGCACTGGAAACTTGAACAATTTGGGACTCACAATTATATGCTTTCATCTGTGAAAAGTTAGCAAAGTCATCTAACCAACCAATAATACATTTATTTGATGACAACAGATCTGACAGAAAATGCTGTTTTTTTCAATCCCAGGAAACAACCTAACAAGTCCTCAGAATACATATAAATTTTTTTCATGTGTTTAAAATGCATTCAAATTTTACATGATGCTAACACACCCTTGTCATATACGTTATCACCTTCTTTTTACAGATGAGGGAACAAGTTCTGAGAGGTTAAGTGACAGTTCAAGTTGTATAGTTAGAGGCAGGATCCCAATTTCTAAGACTGCAGATGGTTCTATATGATTGCTTCACACCTACAGCAATCAAGATCCAGGCGGGAGCCAGAAATAACAGAATAACTGACACAGAGTATCCGTAGAATTATTAACTAGTAAAAGGGGAGTGACTACTAAGAGAGGAGATCACTAACAAATACAGGAGTAGTGGTTTAGGGAGCAGCCAGTACCTCTGAGGCTGTGGGAAAATACCCAGTAACTTAGGGAAATAAACTGTAAGAACCATTCTCCCCATCCCTGTCCTCTATACTACTAAGCCAGGGAGACAGAACCTATTGGAGATAACGTGGCTGTGGTCCAAGAGATGGCAAATGAAATTCACTGAGGTGTCACAGACTGGGCTGGTAACCCAGCTGGGGTGCCAGTGAAACTTCCTAGGAATCCACCCACTGGGTAAGGCTTATTGGAAAGTCACACACTAGGGAACCAGCTAAAGATACCAAAGGGTAGTAAAACACTTATATCTTGCACATCACTGGCCAGAAAGCCACTCACTGACCACACCATATGAGCAAGAAGAAAACACCGGTACCAAGAAGTTTTATGCAGTGTCCCTTCAGCAGCTTCTACTGACAAGTCCTAACATTGGACCAATTGAGAACAAAGCAATGTTTACAGGTTCCAGCTCTAAATATCACAATTCAGGGCAATGAAGATGAATAAGAAGCTGAGAAGCACTCAATTGTGGGCACAGACCTCAATGACCCTTCTGAGTTCTTGAGGGGAAAATGCTTTTATGTCAAACTCCTACTCCAATTTTTTTCCCCCTAATTATCCCTACAATAAAATGCAGCTCTAACTTTTGAGGACACTGTGTGCAGATCGCAGGTATGACACGTGGTTAAGGGCATGAAGAGAGTACAATGCAGTGAATGAGACCAGGTCTGAAGCCAAAACACTTGGGTTTGAATATCGGTTTCAGCACTGATTAAATTTGCAGCCTTGCAAAAGTTAATCTTTGTATGCCTCAGTCTCCTTATCTGTAAGAGGGGATAATAATACCTACTTTATTAAGATGCTGGGAGAAACAAATGTAAAGCCATCTGGCACATGGTTAGAATTTGGTAAATATTAGCATTTACCCATACATGTTAATAATTGGTGTGAAAAATATATATTCAGTTCTTATTTTTAATTTCCATGTAGGTCTGTATCTCATAATGCTAAAGCCCAACTTGTTTGGGTGAGACTGGGTTATGTTCCAAACAGTCTTGCCCCTTCCCGGGCATTGCCTTCAGCTCTGGTTTCAGATCCTGGCACTGCCCCTGGCTCACTCAATAATCCTCATTAGCGTGAACCAACTCACTGGGGAATCCATCTTCTCAGGGGAAAAAAAGACACGTTTAAATAATTCATGTTTAAAATTTCTTCCAGTTCTGACTAAATTTGATCCCCCTCGTCCCCAAATAGTGAGTTATACTTGAGAGGAAAGAGGAAGGAAATTACTATTTTGAGCACCTACCCACCTGTGCCAAGCAAGCACTTTGATGTGCATTACCTGATTCATCTTCATCACAGTCCCATCAAATTAGGACTTTTAACCCTGTTGAACAAATAAGGACACTGAGGGTCAGAAAGATCAAGCAATTAACTCAGGAGCACACTCTTGGTAAGTAAGAGCCTGAATTCAAATCTGGTCTTTCTGTTTGGGTGGGCTACACGTTTCTGTTCTTGCCTCCCACACTCTCTTCATCTCAGACATTGAAAATCTTAACTGCTCAGTGCTTTTCAAGCTTTGCTTTAAAGAGAAGAGTGGGTGTGCGACTTTTTTTTTTTCTTTCTCAAACGTATCATTTGGAAAAAAAGCAAATGAAATTCATTTACCAGTTACAGGAATTTGAAGTCACTCCTAACATCTTACACAAAATTAGCGTTTGAGTGAAAATCAGCAGCCCTCCTGCATCTTGGCGCCCCTGTCCTCACCTCTACTCCTGGCTGCAAACTTGGTGAAGGGAAAGGAGCCTCGTGGTGCTGGGCCTGCGAGCTGAGTTCCAGCCCGGGTTCTGCCGCTGTGTTCCAGCTCGCTCCGAGAGCCTTCTTTTCCTTCTCTGGAGCACGAAGTGGTCACGCCAGGGCATGTCAAGGTTTCTTCCTAAGGTACAAGCCCGAGTCTGACGCTTTCCCGGGCGAGGACGTGTCCCAGCCGTCTCCGCCGCAGTTCCCGGGGAAAACAGCCCATTTCCCACTAGAGGCCCCACGCTACGGCCCCTTCCGCTCCGCGTCTCTTAACCTGGAAAAGTGAAGCCCCTTCCCCTGCGTCCCTGGAATCCCCTTTCAGCAGACTACTCCGCCCCGCCGCCAAGTTCCCATCCCCGCCCGACGCGCGGGCTGGGCCCGCACCCCGCAAAGTGATGCTCTGCCTCCTCGCTGTCTGGGTAACCAGCCTGCACTTCCCTAACTTTCCGCTCCTCCGAGAGGGGAATTCTAAAAACTCTGCGACGAGTTTGACTGAAAAGGTGAGGAGACAAAGCCTCTCTCAACAGAGAACTCCTCCGCCTCCGCCCGGCGCCTCGCGCCCAGGCCTCCCCCGCAGGTCCACGGGGTCCCATCAGCTCGGCTTTCCCGCGGCAGGGTCCCGCGCCTGGGGACTCGCAGCGCTCCCGCCGAAGCCCCCGAGACGGGGGCGCGCCGCCAAGTCCAGCTCTCGCTCTTTCTGCTCCCGCCGAGCCCTAGTCCTGAGGAAGTCCGGGCGTCCTCACAGCGCAGGAGGCTAGCGCGCCGCGCGGCCGCTCGGAGGCTGAAAAAAGGTCCGCACAGGGCTCGAAGCCCTTCCTGCCGGCCTCCCCACGCCGGGCCTCGGCTCCCCTCCTTTCCCGCTCCCGCCTCTTCTCGTAGGCTGCCAGGCGGACCCAGCCTGCCTTTCTCTCTGCCTTCACTACCGGGTCAAGCTGCGGAGGGAGGGAGCGGAGACAGTGGCGAACCGGCTCCCCACCCGGCGCGCGCGCGCGGCCCTCCTCCCCCTCCAGCTTGCTCCCTCCTCCTCTGCCTCCTCCCCTCCTGCCAGTACAGTACAACTAGTACACACACTCACACACACACGGACCCTGCCGCTGCCACTGCAGCTACCATGGATATCAGCTAACAACACACACCCAGGCGCGCGCGCGCTCCCACTCGCACCACGCAGGAGTGGCCCCCGGCATCCCTACCCTCCTTCCCCACCCCCACCCCACTCGCTCACCAGCTCGGCTACCGCTCGCTCAGGCTGCCGCCGCCGCCGCCGCCGTCGCCGCCACCACCACAGCTCTCCTCTGCTGCGGGGCCACAGCCTTGAGTGTCATTCAAGGGACAGCACAACCTCACCCAAGCTCTCCTACCTCTGCCCAGCCGTCCCTCTCATCCTCCCCCTTCATCATCCACACTCCATCCAAAGAAGAGGGAAAGCACCGAACAGAAGGGGGAGGAAGGCAAAGTCTGCTCTTCTCACCTCTTGGCCCCCTTGTTCCTCCATCCTCATTCTCACCACCAACTCCCCTACCCGAAAGGAACCCCTCAGGAGCTGAGGCGACTCACCCCACTGCCATGTCCAAAAGCTTGAAAAAGAAAAGCCACTGGACTAGCAAAGTCCATGAGAGTGTCATTGGCAGGAACCCGGAGGGCCAGCTGGGCTTTGAACTGAAGGGGGGCGCCGAGAACGGACAGTTCCCCTACCTGGGGGAGGTGAAGCCCGGCAAGGTGGCCTATGAGAGCGGCAGCAAGTTGGTGTCGGAGGAGCTGCTGCTGGAAGTGAACGAGACCCCCGTGGCGGGGCTCACCATCAGGGACGTGCTGGCCGTGATCAAACACTGCAAGGACCCCCTCCGACTCAAGTGTGTCAAACAAGGTGAGCGCCGCGGCTTGCTGGGTGCCCTGCCAGGCGGCTGGACCGCTCCAAGCGCAGAGCCGCGGAAGGGTGGGCTCGCGTGTGGAAGGGGGTGTGTGGCGCGACGGTGGGTGAGGTCGAGAGAGTACCGGCAGGGCAAGTGAGCTTTGCAGGGGATCCGAACGGGGGTGCTTAATGGAAGGGAGGGGGCAGGTTGCGGTGTGGCGTGCAACTTTGTCTGCGCAGTTACACCTTCCAGTTTGGAAGGTGTTTGGCCTTGTGTGACCTCAGAGGTGCGGGCGAGCTCCCGGGGCAAATTGAATGTGCGTCAGTGGCTTAGCCCGCAGTGGATGAAGAGCTTTAAAAAGGGAAGGAAGGAAAGAAGGCAGGGAGGAAGGAAGGAGAGAGGGAGGGAGAAAAGGGGAGGAAGGAACAACTTGAGGGTGCAGCGGCATCACCAGCAGGGCGGGGAGGAACATAGGGTGGCGGGGCGAGCGGAGAACTACGCCCCCCTTTTTGGGAGCTGGACCGGAGACGCCTTGGTCCGCAGCCATCCCCTAAGGATCCCACCCGGAGCCACTAGTTGACGAAGAAGCGAAGGGACAGATTGCTTTGGGCGCTTTGACGGGTCTTCCTTAACTTTTTCCCTGCCTCGCTCCTCTGTCCTCCTCCCCCGCCCTCGGTCGGGTCATGTGGGCACCGCGCGTCACGTGCGCACTGACTAACCCAGGCGCTCACCCGGAGCTGGCCGGCGCGAGAAGGCTCGAGAAGAAGGCGCGGCACTAGGAGCGGGTTCTAGGGTTGGGGGTCGGGACGAGAGAAGTGGTTGCCCGAATGTTCTCTCCTCAGGGGTTGCCCTTGTTGAGTGGAGGTTCTCTGTGGTTGGACTCTCTTTTGGCTTCCGATTTGAGGGGTGTGTTTCTGAGGAGGAGCTGGATGGAAAAGCCAGTTGGTTACTGGCTCAGGCTCCCTCAGCTCCAGCCTGGCTTAGATGAGCCTCACTTGAAGGTTGTGATGGGGACTTAGGGACACGGGAATCTTGCAGAACTCTAATTAACTGTTTTTTTGCTGAAGAGAAAATAGGTCCTGAAGGAGGGAAGAGTGAGATAAAAGTTTCTGGGAAAGAGGACAACTTTAACCAGAATAAAGTAGTGTATCTTTTTTTCCTCATGTCATTTGTGTATGTTCTGAAGTTCAAACGCACCTTCCATGTGTGGTGTGTGTGTATATGTGCAAGTTCATATCCGACTGAAGGCTTCTTGATGACTTTACACGTTTGTCCTGCCTCGAAAATAAAAGTGAGCAGGCCATTGTCTGAATTTTGAACGACCACTTAATCTTACTGCATGACCAACGATCAAGAAACACTCTTAGGGAGATGTTCTTCTCTATGAAACCAGCTTAAAAAGTAAACAAGTGAAAAGTCTCGGGCAAAATTTCTTAAATGTAAATTGCCATACAAGAAAACATTTTCATTGGGGATTCTTGAGTATTAATAGCTAATGACTTGAGATAAGCTAAGGTAAACATTGATTTGCAGTCAACCTAGCTCAATGCTGTATGGAACTGAAGCTTTATAAGTTAGGTAGGAAGGCAAATAGAGTATCTGGCATTTTTCAAGGAACCATACCTGAGGCTCAAATATAGGGATTCATGTTAACTTATTTAATGTCATGATATTATCTTATAGCAGTAATTACAAATGTAAGGTTCTGCTTTTGAGTCCAGGAAATCTACCACACAATTAATGACCAGGCTTTTATTGGCAGAAGCTAGGTATTTGTAGTGGTAAGTGGCAGCAAGAGTTAATGTGTTGTTAAATTGGACTAATGATAGTATCCTAATGAAGGAGATGATTGTCTTAGTGTAATTTGCAGTGATGACCACAATTTAATGTTGCATTCTTTCTGAGCACTACATTTTGAGATGGACCCTGGCAAACTGTAACTCTAGGAGCAAGAATGTGTTCAAAAAAGAAAGAAAGGAAGATTATTCGGTATTATAGATGTATTTCTTAAAATCCAATAGTAAGAGTTATCTTGGAAAAGTGAGGGCATGAAAGCTATCATTAAATACAGAAAAGCTGTCAGGTAGGAAAAGGAATTTTGACTATCCTGTGATAATTTTCATAGGGCAAAACTGGAATAAATTTATAGAAATTTTTAAAGGATGAAACATCTTTGTCTACATTAAGAAGATGAACTTTCTAAAACAGAAGAAGATGAGCTTTTCTAACATAACTTTACAAAAATCTGTGGGCTATATTGTGAATTCATGAGCTCTCCATCATGTGGGGTCTTTATTATAAAGAGGCAGACGTGACAAGATATCATGATTCCTATGTAAGATGGGGCCTGGACTAGATGTCATTTAAATCTTGCAATGATTTGATCCAAGGTAGTCTCTGATCACCCAACTTCTGTATAATATTTTGTCTGAAAGATTACTGATTTTAGAACTCATGAAATATGCAAAGATAAAGTGGTATATTCAGGGAAAAAAAAAATCTCTTTTCTTTCTCTGTTAATTCTCAGTTCTGGGCTTCACTTGGTCATTGATGACTGATGCTTGTAATGATGTTTGCAGAGCCCCCTCAGGAACCCAGTTCATATCCTGAGTCATTATTGATCAAAAAAGAAAAAAATGCTCACTTAACTTTCATGGAAAATATAATCTTCTTGTATATTCTTCTAAATATGATGATTCATATATACTAGTCCCTTGTTGAAATCATCCTTTCCCTTGTCAAACAACAGATAGGTGTATTTTATTTATCATTGTAAACAAAGTGAAATTTTCAGAATGTTAGATAATGGTGCCCGTGTGTCTTGGGTTTTACTACAGATTTCACTTGCTGGAAAAATACTTAGAAGCTCTTGGCTCAGTATTTTTATTTCTAGTGAGTCAATAAGCTAGCATAGCTGAAATACTTTAACATGGTTTGTTCAGAAGTTGTATTTTTAAAGTATGAATGAGATAATTGATTTCTGAATATTCATTTAAACATGGGGAATTATACAGAAGCTACATACATAATCAGGTAAACTAAGGCAGATTTTCCAAAGAAAAGGAGACATTTAAATAACAAGAATATTGATTAAAAAGTGCACCAGATAAAATTGCACTCTTTACTCCATTTTTTTTACTTGTTTGACTAATTTGACATTACAGTTGTAATTATTTTATTTTATTTTATTTTTACTTTTATTTTTTCTTTCAGCACTGTATTTTTTTTAAAAATTTTAAAAATTTTATTAAGTTTTGTATTTTAATTCCAGTAGAGTTAACATACAGTGTTATATTAGTTTCAGTGTACAACATGGTATATTAACAATTCTATTAATTGTCATAATTTTAAATTATCATAATTTTAAAAGAAGTGAACTAGTAGGATTTTAAGACATACTAGACAAAGTTGATGTATCATGATTTTCCTACATTATTGTCCTTAAAACAATTTTTAAAAGCCATTTAATTAAATTCAAGGGATTCCATTTTTAATTTAAGCTACTTTTAATCCACACAGTGATGAGTCATATATGAATAATACCACTTATTGTCACATCCAATTATTTTTTATAAACTCTGGCTTTTTAGTATATTATGCTTTCCTCACCAAGCATTTTATTCTAAATTAGCAGTTCTGTTCCATGATCTCATTAATGCAGCAGACCCAGCTGAAGGAAGTGTCTTCTAGTGATTTTTGAGATCTGTGCTGAAGTGGTAAAGGTTTTTCTTTCTTTCTTTCTTTTTGTATTTTAAAGTTTGGCACTAAAGTTCACAGCAGCCAGTTACATAGACCATTGTGTCCTACATTCCTTGCACTATGACTGCTACTGCATCTAATCCCACATGGAGACCTACATAGCCTGGACTTATTTTCCCATTTAGGATCTCACAGTGGAAAATAAAAGGCAAAAAGTTTTCTAATTCTTCCCATGTGGAAGAAGGGCCAAATAAAGCCTTTGAAATTCAGTTCTAGAGATGTACATTGCTCTCCCTCCTATTGCTCCTTTCAAAGCTGCTTTCAAAGGAAAGTAGATCCACATTTATTAAGAGTCATGCTTTCTTCTTGCCTGACTTCAGGCTAGTATCATACAGTTAAACCTCTATGCTGCTTTTTATTTGGAAAGGTAAAAGCAAATTATGTCAAATTTTCTCCAATAAAGGTTGACTTGCGTCCATAAAAATTTAAGGTATGTGAATTTTATTGACCAATAAACAATCAAATTGTTAGAACAATTTGACCAGTTAATTATTTTAGGATAAAGTATCTTTAATGTTTTGGAACCAGGTTAATGAGATAATTATCTTTGAGCATAATTTATGGATGATGTGACTATAGTTTTTAATATATATGTACATAATTTAAATGGTATGACCTTGAATGTTAAATATGACTGTTTGCTTTTTTATGTGTGTGTTTTGAATGAGAGTAAACTCAGGATGAAATCACAGCTGAAGTATTTAAGTGCCACCATTTCAGCTTTTAACATTTATACTGTGTGATCTTTTGGCATATTTATTATGCTCACTTTCCTTTTTAGTTCTTGAAATTCACACATTCACTCTCATAATTAGCAAAAAGTTTTCACATTTGACAACCCGACTGCTTATAGGTTAAACAGTGGCTTTCAAATGCATAGTGGACCCAGGTTGAATCATTTCCCTCAAGAAGTAGGCTAGAATAGTGGTTATTTAACCAATAACTTGGGTTTGAATCTTGGGAATGCCACTTAGTATGGGTTATATATGCAAGTTATCTAGGCGGCGTAATAAGAGTAACTTGAGAATATTAAATTTATGTCTTTAAGTAAGATAGTGTCTGGATAATAAACATTATGCATGTTATCTCAAACAGATTGGTCATTTTGAGCTAGTGACATATGAGATGTTTTTAACTTTCAACATATTTTACTCTTTATTGAAGACTAACTGAAATATATGAAATGATTGACTAATTAATAGTATGAGTAATTTTCAAGTGGTATTCTTGAGGTTTTTCTGTAGAGTGAAATAAA